GTTAATAAAGAAAAATTTTAAATATAAAATTAATTAAATAATTTTTCAACTACTAACTTAGCTTTAAACCAAAAGACCTCGGTGTGATAGCCTATCGAATGCAAATATTCAGTTGATAAAAATAGCTACCACGTTATATTAGATATAATTATAAGAAACAACATAAACGCGATGATTTTGACATTTGCCATTACGTCAAAGTTACGTCTACGACTACCAGAACAGAACTTAGAAGTCATAGAACATATGATTTCATCCGATATTAGAATGCGATACGACAACAAAAATATGGGTGATTATGACAATGAATTCTTTCATTTTTAATTCATTATTGTATTATTTCACACATCTCAAATATAATTTTAATGTAAGATAAATTCATTTTCGCGCATTTTTATAAACAAGTCAATATTGGTAAAGTATTCAGTCTTTAAATCACTTTATTAGTTACATGTAAGTACCCATACATATAAGTATTATTGTTCAATTCAAGTTGTTACATTACTTTATTATTACGAGTATATTTATAATATTTATTAACATTTTTAATTAAATTATTAATGTAAATATTTGATAATATTTTATTCATATTACATAACATGTATTTAATATTAAATATTATTTTTTATATTGTATGTGTTTATATGTATATAAAAATTTTTAAATACAAAATAATTTAATAATTTTTAGGTTTTATACAACAGTTATTTGGCTATATTAACTACTTAATATATACAATACCCATACAACATATTTTTTTTTTCAAAATAAAAATATTAAAATTAAAATATAAGCACATAGGTATAGATATGTACACAGGTACATACATCTTGGTATTTATTATTTTATTTAATATAAGGATAATCATAATTAATAAAAAATAATATATAAATCTGTACATATTTTATTTTTAAAGATATTAAATTTTATATATAATTTTGATATTATCTTACTTTTAAAATATTTTTTTTTTAAATAAAATCTATCTGATTTTTCATATCAAAATTTTTTCAAAACAATTAATTTTGCTTATATAATGAATTTATTTATTTTATATAATATAAATATATAAGTAGTATTTCTAAATACATATTATATACATATATTCTTATTTATTTTCTTTTTCTTCTATTTTATATTATAATAATATATTTTTCCCTCAAGCGTTCTCTAATATCAAACAGAAACTATCCTAACAGAGAATCCTTTAACAGATATGAACCTTTAATGTACATCTCAAGTTTTATTATTTAAAATATACATATATAATAAATACTTCGTATTATTAACGAAGAAAAAAAAAACAAACAAACAAGAAAACACACAAATTATATTTGTTTCAATTCAATGCACATGAGTAAGTATTACTATGTTATATAGCTGTTCAATTCACCTGTATTTTTTCCCTTCTATATTGATAAATTGTATATGATATCCACAAATACTACTCTTACATACTATACTCGTATTCCAATACTTCATAGGAATAAAAATAACAAATGGATAAAATAGTTGATATCGCTAACTTTGACATACTCCCATAAATTGCACTAAGATTTAAATTAGAAATCACTTGTTCATATAAGTATAGGTATACGTAATTCTAAAACAGCTCTATAAGGGAGACGTCCAAGAACCGAATTTTTTATTAAAATATATTAATTCTTTTATTAGTTTTAAATATATGCATCAGTCGAATCAAAACTTTCGATATAATCTTCAGTTTTAATCCGAAACTAAAATTTATCTCAATAATCTCAAATGGGGTTTGTCTCAAATAAGGTAAGTCATTCTTTATTCACTTTCATATCAGAATTTGAATGCTTTTTTCTAATTAAATCATTGTTTTAATAAGATTATTAATGTTTTTTAATTAGATTTTTTATGTATTCTAAAATTATCCGCTAAAGCTATCACCTTCAAAAACAAAGCAATTGAAAAATTAAATTTTAAATACATTTTAAAAAAGGCAAGAGGTGCAATATAGAAAAATTTTGTTCGCCCAACACTTACATTACAAAAATAAATGATAGTCATTCACCTTCTTTACACTTGGCAAGTAATATAAATTAGTATTCAGAATAATATTTCTGATATACTACGTTATAGTAAATGAAGACTTTCCATTTTTAACATTATAAATTAAAAGACAAATTTACAATAATATTTTGTAATAAATAGAATTCAATTTTTTAATGATGTGTATATAACACTAATATGTTTAGCGAAACCAAAGGTCTTTTGCATAAAAATTAATTCATTGAAGAAATAGAAGAAAAAACTGATTTTTTTTTTTTTTTTGAGGAACAAAAAAGTATCGATCAAACGAAATACGGAATGCAATTATTAAGGTGCTAAGAATGCTTTACAAACCATATTATAGTGCTTAAAACTATTATGGATACGTTTAAAGTTTGATTACATTTTTGAAAAGCATAGGGCAGTTATTCTTTTCATTTTTTATTCTTTTGGCTTTTAGAACTAATCATTTGATTGGAAATAGCACTGAGAAAAATTAATTTATTTGCATTACTTTTTAGTAAATTGCGTGCTATGTCTTTTATGCATTTAGCTTGTTTTAGAAATTGAATCCGTATTTGCACACATAAATTTATAATATTATTTAATTGAAAAATAGGGGTTTATTAAATTGAAAAAGTATGCTAAGTAACCCACATCCATAATATTATATATTATGTTATGAATTTTATTCCTGAAATTGCACCCCAAGGCAAAAAACAGAACGGCAAGCACTTACTCTATTTAATTACACATACTAATTCATATTCAAGTTAGTTATTCATTCATATCAAGTATGTACATATATGCATTATGCAAACACACATTAATTTAAATTATGCTTTTATGAATAACAAGCAGCTGTGTTCATATTTGTGGGAACAAAGAAGCGAAAATTGTTGGTAACATACTGTAAAATCAGCGATCATCATCGGCGGCAACTCTAAAATGCAATGAAATTTCTAAATTAAGTTTTAAAAATTAATTCAACATTTTTATATTAAGCTCTTCATTTAATTATAATATATTTGCAGTAGGGGATTTTCTAAAAATCAGTTCTAAAGTTCTAACTTAGGTATTATAAACTTAAAATAAAGCACGTTCAATAAAAGCAAAATGTAAAATCTACAAAATATAGTATGTTTGAAAATTACAGTTGCTTAATGCTTAAAGTTTTAAAGGAATTCAAATTTTTTTATAACTATGAGTGAATAGACTTTTAAGATTTAATTTAGAACTTTCAGTACAAATCTAAATTACGGATAATCCGCAGTCATGAATGCAATATTAAATGAGAAATTCTTACTTCAAAATTGCTGTAATATTAACATTTATTATTACAGTTTGTATCAGTGTGAACTTGAAATCAAGAATGTTACTTTGCATAATTTTTATTAACAATTTAGAATATGATACAATACAGTTCAATACGGCATGCATGCATTTCTGCCATCCATGTATTAAACTAGAATTAGTTCAAAACATTTGTTATATGACATTGATAGACCCTTTTAAAATATCTTTAAGATAAAATATTATCTACAATATGTTTTAATGTTAACAGATTACTCTGTAACTTATGCATAACTACATATTTTAATCACCTAGATTAATGTTATAACCTACATAATAATTATGTATTAAAGATATTTTTATTGAAAAAAACATCAAACATTTTCTTCAGTGAACTTATTTTAAAAAATGGAGAAATCTCACTTCTTGTTACGGTTATGAAAAACTAAACTAAATAAAGTTATAATTTGCAAGATTAAACTTTCTATGTGTAACTATAGACATACATATATATATATATGTATAATGTTTAGTACATGCATTCTATCCTTATAGTTAAATATAATACAGACAAAATATCCTTTTTTGTACCAACAAAATATAGAACATGAATATAATTTTGTATAACGTACATTAATATTGAAAAAAAGAAAAATTCTCGATAAAGAAAAATTAAAAAGTTCTAATTATGTGTTTTAAATACGTTTTTTCTTACTCTTGACAGAGGTAACACTTCTTCCTTTTTTTTGGTGTAGAGTTATTTATGGCATAAAAATTTAATGAACTAATCTACATGTAGAAGATTCAGCAAAGTGTTTCCATTTTTTTTATAATTTTTTTTTATATTTTCATTCTTTTTTATATTATTGCCATTTCGAATTCGAATTCAAAATAGACTAAATAGAGATATTCTGATTAAGAAGTTTGTATGTAATTAGAAAAGGAGAATCCATTTATTTGAAATGCATGTTGAAAAGTAGAACAAAGAATTTTAAGGATAATAATATTTTAATGGAATCTACATGATATCGAGCAAAAAATTTAATTTAAAATAGTCTTTTCTCTTTTAATATTTGTTAAAGTTTAATAAAAATACTTTTATTACCAATATCCCTTATCAAATTTTTGTACAATGAACTTAGATATGTACGTCAATTAATATTATATTAATTTTAACATATTGATTTGCATCTGTACTTTAAGTAATAAAACTACACGTTAGAGAAATAATGTAGGACTAGTTTAACGATTCAAATTTATGTTGTAACCAAAATTGGTATGCACATACATATACTATTATATTATAATCTTAAACGATTAATTCTCAGCTAATTTGTACTTAAAATTAGTTATATTTAAATTTGTTTTAAAATGTGCAAGCAACAATTTTAATTTTAAATATGCAACTAATTCATCGTTAAACTGAATTCTCATGATAAAATAAACAAAAACTAGCATTTCATTTTGCTTATGATTAACAATTAAAAATTTAGGCTTATTAGTTTAGTGATTAATATGGATGGCTTTAGTGAAAAAGCAATGTCAAAACAGTATACTAAGAGATAATTAAGAATTACTATATAAAATTGAAGTTTCCACAATCAAAAATTTACTTACATTATGTTTAAGATTATTTTTTTTAATTATATTTATGATAGCGGTAATTAACACAAATTTAAAGGTTAAAATTTTAATAAATAAAAGTTTATATTTGCAATAACAAGCAAACTCCAGCTAATGTCCACTTTCCCGGTTTCTCTTTAGTTTTTAAATTGAAAGTCCAAACAAAAGTTGGCCCACGTTTACTGTCAAGAGAAATGTACGAATAATAAAAAAAAATACACAAATAATTTTTAAAAGTAGAATATATAAATTCAAAGTTTTTACCGAATTTTGTATAAAGGACACTCATAAATATTTTTCAGATCCTGTTTATCTTGAGTGATGGCTTTGATATAAATTACAGGCATAGACGGAAATAATTCTTTCATACGGGCATCTGCTATTGTTCCAAGTTGAATGTCCCAGCGAGCACCTTCCATAAAGAGACCATTTACATATGAACCTTCTCTTGGTGCCGCACTAAAATTATACGTAATTTTGAAATATATTTTTTTATTTACAAATAAACATAAACTTACGCTATTTCGCTTTTATGTTTTTTCGTAACGTCACAATTTAAACACATTCTATCTAATGGCCAATCATTTTTTCTAGCTGTTTGCTGCATAATAGCGGTTAGAAAACTTTGTGGATTAAAAAATCCTCCTAACCACACACTAGATGGCAATTTAAAATCACTAACCCAAGTTTCTAATTCTTTCAAACGTTGCATTAGGTCGGCAATCCAAGATCCAAGATTTAATATACTTGGATATGCCAGTTTTTCCCACGTTACCGGTACTTGATCCATATATAAACAATCCATTAAGCTTTCCATAACAGATGAAATTGTTAATTCGCCTTTAAGTCCCATTTCTAACTCTTTTAATGAACGAACAATTTCAGTATTCAAAATATTCATTCTATCAGCTTCTTGAAGTGCTACAATAATATAAGGTGTTTTCTCTTTACCTGCTTTTATGCTTAGTTCCACTATATTAAATGGGAGAGGAATTTTATCCAACGTATCTTCAATCAAAATTTTTACAATTTCCTCTTGTGTCATTTCACCAGGTCCAGCGCCAGCAGCCATTTTTGGTTGCAATTCGAAAATAATTCGAAAAATCCTTTCTGTAACAGTTGTTAAAAAACCAATTTCGGCATTTGCATGTAAACCATATAAAATAGGGGATTCAGTTGGTAAGTTTTCATTTATGTAACTATGATATTCATCATAATTTAAAATTCCTGGTGCTTTAAATCCCACTGTATAATATAATTCGCCATTTAGTAACTCCGGTTGCATATATTCTTCGAGATATGTTCTGCATAATCGGCGATCCCAATCATCTGTTATGTGACCACCATACATTATCTCTCCAAAAAGGTATCTCAAATCTTCCCAAGGCACGCGTGTATTCGCTTCCAAATAATTATGAAGGACGTAAACACTGATTGTTAAATCACCAACGTTGAAAGGATATCGCACGTTCCAACCTTGTGCACCAAATTTGCGACGCTCTGCAATAGCTGCGTGAAAATAACACAGCGAAAATAATATAGCCTTAAATTCTGTCTCCTTAGAACACATTTCTAAAGTTTCTTGTGTAAAGTTATCCAAAGCTTTGTGCAGATTAGCCAACATACCAGTTGGTGGTTCATTTGTCACTTTTATTGCTGATTCCAAAATGCCTTGTGGTAAAATATGGAATTCATGACTCGGGGCTGGCTCAGCGCTTAGAAATAGACGATAATCAGGATGAGAATTACCGACTGTACCCTCTATAGTTTTTTCTAGTCGGGGTAGCCAATGTGCGACTAAATGAATATTTTGCAGCATAACCTGTTTAAGATAAAAATTTAAGTTTGAAAGTGAGCTCATACAGCTTAATTTATATATACAACAAGGTAGAAGAAATGTGATGAATCATTTTCAAAATTTTGAACAATTTTTTGATAATATATACTAAAAGTAGTCTATTGAAAAAAAAAATACCCAATGTCCTTCACGGGTAGCTTCCTCGATTGCTTTTTCTGCAATCATTTCCTGTCCTTGTCCCAAGGAAACACTGTGAAAATTTTCTGTTTCAAAACCCCATCCTAAATATTTTCCAACTCGTTCAACGTCTTTTAGAGGATCTACTCCGGGGGAAAGAACAAAAAATGTGTGAATTTCGGAACTAGTTTCCTCAAAAGTTTTAGCAAAATCAACGCTTCTTGCTTCAATATACTTGGTACCCAATTTCTCTTCTATATAAACTTGAACAGCGTAAGTCATTCGATCTGCTCTCAAACAACGCCAAATACACAAACGTTGTAACGATGTTTTATTTTTCCATTCCCCAGGAAGTTTCTCCCTTTCTGGAGCATCAGCATCTAGTATTTTTTGCCATCTTTTTGGCGCAGCTTCCAAATCCTTGTCCAAACCTTTAAAACTATCACAGTAACTACTTAGAGCTTTAATTCCACCCCATTGAACATTATTAAGGAAATTAATTTCTGAGATAACATTCGGATTATATGGATATCTTAAGAGAAAATCTAGTTCACTTTGTTCTATTTCTTTAGAATGAAGTTGAATTTGAAATATCATTTGAGTTAGAAATATTAATTTATCAGCTTCAAATAAAGCTCTTGAAGTATACATATAACTAAAGAACGTAAGAGTGTCTACTAAGTTACTAACCCTCTCTTTCACATTATCTGATTCTGGAGCATTTTTTATAGCATTCAAGAAAACTATAGTAAATGATTTTAAAGAAAATTGATAAATAGCGTTAATTTTGAATAATTCATTCATAACAAAATATATAATAGATGCTCTACAAGCAGCAGGTCTATAAATTTCCCGAGCCGAATCTATTTGCGAGGTTGTGATTTTAGCTTCTGCAACTTTAATGCCAATTTCTTCAACAGTTCTCTTTGTTTTTTCTAAATTTGTTACTAAGGAGACATCTTCTAACACATTATCACCAGCAGCAGCCAACCTCTTTAAAAGATCTTCTTCCAAAATCTTTAGTGTTATTTTATTTTGATTCTGCTGCTGAGTGAGTTTAGTCCTTAAGCTTTCTAAATCAGCACGCTCAGCTTTAACAACTTCAGCAAGCAATTGATCTTCTAATCCATCACGAGTTACAGTAAAATTAATTAAAGTACATTGCGCTTGCATTTCAGGCTTGTAATGTGGATTAGCCAGTTTTGTTTGCAAAATCAAACGAAATTTCGGATTAAAATCGATTTCTCTGTCACCAAGTCTTAAACATGTACCTTTCTTTATCAAGTATCTCCCAACAAGTGGATTCAAAACTGCATCAATTGATTCTCCTATATTTTCAATGACTAAAACATTACCATCTCGAACAGCTTTTTCAATCATATCCATGTAACCTTTTTGATTAAGACGAAGGAGGGTCATATTCTTGGCGTATCTCTGTTTAACCCATTTTATGCCTTGCCTAAGGAACATTTTATTATAATACTTAAATAACTTTGAAGAAATGAAAATATTACAGCTGCGGATCAATAATTAAAGGATATCGTTCCGAATAGACCAATATCGCTGCATTTTCTGAGGACATTCTGTCATTTGGAAGACCTTGATTGTTCCATTGTGCAATTTGTGCATCATCGCAAATTAAGGAAAAAAGATCTACATTTTCAGTCATGGGTATTTGCGGCTAAAAATATTAAACTCAAAAAAACTATTTAATCGTGAAAAGAATAAAATTAGTCTAGTTTGTAATACCTCTAACTTCTTAAAAGTAGGTAACCACATTTTTTCCTGTAATTCTGAACGATACGATCGAGTAAAGCAACCAACATAAGATATGAAGCAAGCTATTAATAACATATCTCCTGGAATAGTTTCCAAGCTTTCGTTCAAACTAAAAAAAGATATTAGTATTAAATAAGATTACACACTAAGTAATTAATAAAAAAAAAAAAAGGGTAACACCGACTTCTTAACAGATGCTGTCCATCGAATTTTTTCCGATGCTAAACCTCCAACAAGACGATTTGCAATATCTATCGTGAATGCTGTCTTATCAGCTTCATCTTGACATTTTTGTTTTTCAGCCATAGCAGCATTAAATTCAGATTGAATAGCATTTAATTCTTCTTCTAATTCATTTAAGCGATTATTTAATGATTCCAATTTCTCTCTTGCTGCGTTTAACTGGTATTCAGCATCTTTCAAAGCTCTTATTTTTGGCTCCACTTCTAGATACACTTCATAAAAATTGTTAATATTAATAACCCATGAACAGAGACCTGCAGCAGCTAAAGTTAAATAAATTTATTTATTTTATAATTACTAAATAAATTTTCTGCATTACTGTACCTCCCGATTTCGCCATGATTTTGTGAGGGTCGAATTCTGGGTCTTTTAGGTATGGTTGTAAAGCTTTTATAACATCAGGCGGAATTGATTCTTTTTTGTAGTAAATCAGATCTTGCATAAATTTGTCAACATTACCCATTATACCACGACACGCTTTCCAACTTCTATCTTTAGGTATTTTACCCTTCGGTGAAAATAATACTAACACTGCTGCAACTACATTAACTACAGCGTCTGGTGGTGACCCAAACGATTTCAATTCAGTTAGATTGTTTTTATTCAAGGTATTCAAAGCTTCTTGAGCTTTTTCAAGAGCTGGCATCGCAGCTTTATATTCTTCTGTGCAAACAGCTGCTATTGCTGTCACTTCTTCTTCTATAGTTCTAACTTTTTTTTCTTCTTCTGAAACAAAAGCTCTCTCCTTAGAAACTTTTTCATTTTCAGCACTAACAACTTTAATTAGTGCGTCAGCTTCTTCGTTTTTAATTTTTAAAATTACTTCTTGGTCTTTCAAAACAAATTGCAGATCGTCAACTTCTTTAGAGCATGATGCTAGTTTAATTAATCCGTTTTCCAAACGAGTAATGTATTCTTTTGTAGCCGTATCTTTTTCAATAACTAATTTTCTATATAATTTAATTAACTCTAAAAAAGATTTGGGTGTAGTATAGTTATAACGCCTATCATTCGCCAAATAAACTTCAGATAATTTATTTACAGAGGTATGGACGTAAGCCATGAATTTCGAGATGGGAAGTGCAAGCTCTTGCTTTAAAAAAAAAAAAAAAAACAATTGTACAGTAAAATATGTTAAAAATTATTATAAATCTTACATGTAAAGTTTCAAATTCATTCAAAAATCTATATGACACGGACTCTAAGGCTTCTATCGGCCACCCATGAAACCAATTGATTGTTGTACAATTCACCAACGATGGAAATTTTCTAGCTCGTATCCTTAGGGTTGAACCAACCGGAGAGAAGCATAAAACGACTTTTATTAACGATCTGACCTTTTCAATAAAAAATTTCCAACAATTTTCTCTAGTATCACTAATACCGGCCTCTTTCACTTCATTTCGTATAGTACTTATAATATTTTCAACCTCATCATCCGCAAAAAGCTCTGGAATATCACCGGATGCCAACAAATCATTGATAACAACCAAAAATTCTTCTTTAGCTATCTCGGAATCAGTTACTAGAAAACAATTTGGTGTATTTTTTATCCCTGCTTTTATATACAAAGTGTTTAGATTTGCTTTTAAATCAACAATGCTAAAATCTTTTGTTAACTGAATTTTGAAGACATCTAAAGAGGAAATAAAAGCTGCCAGTCTTGTCAAAGATTGTTTGCCTGAACCACCAACACCAATTAATAACGCATATCCCCGAGATGACTCAAGAATTCTACTTATACGACAAATATGACTCATAGCATCTTCAAATAGCACTAAATTCATTGCACCTACTACTTCATTATAATTATGTTGTGCCTCTTTCAAAAGTGTTTGTAAAGTCAGCCAATTTTGTATTGGCATATACTTCATATCGGATAATCCTCTTGCAAAATGACAATAAATCAAAGGTTGTAATAATACAACCTCTTCGTTATATTGATCAATATTTTTTCGTAAGGTGTCAATAGCAATTTTCTTAAAATTGTTAATATCATTGAAATCCACAAGTTTATCTCCATAAACTCTTTGGGACTCATGAAACCATAAACGTATCATCATATCACTATTAGGGCATGAATCGCTGTTACCATACAAAATACCCTACAAATAATCATATTACAGTGCATATGAAATTGTACAAATAAGAATGAAAGTTTTACCACAAATATATTAGCAATATCACGCAAGTTAAAATTATAATGAAATTTCACAGCAGTAGGTAAAAAAGAAGATGATACTTTTTGATGTAAAGCAATAGCAGCATTTACTAGACTATTACATAAACTTTTTACCACAGTGCTAAAACGAAGAGTTGGAACAGCTAAATGTTGTGATAAAATTGAGTTTAGAATATGATGTAAAGCATCACTACCTGGCTGACTGCAAGAAAAGGCAAAAAAGATCACATTATATGGATAATCAAATTTTTATATTACTAAAGGAAAGCGCTTTTTATAAATGTATTTACTTACTTAACAGCAAATGAACAAAAATGCCTTTGTAATCTAGGATCTATAGTAAATGATCCTGCTGAAGGGTTCATGCAAGAAACAAATTGACAGGAATGTATATCTTTCAAAATCATTTTTACTCGATCGTACCAGTGCTTATAGTCCATAAATTGCCGAATCAATGTGTGAGGCTGGACAGTTCCATACTTATCCACTTCTGGCATATTCATATCGTCTACAAAATACAACATATTTTTATTCCCTGGAGGTCCAAAATTTCTTCCAGCTTTCTTTTCCAATGGTTTTTCTAAAATTCTTTGTAATGCTTCAGAAGTAGTATAGAAATTAAACGGAACATTTGTAACCGCCCATTTCGTAGAATCCTTGTCAACTAACGCATTCAATTTATAGTTCATAAGTATTGTTTTACCAGAGCCAGCTGGGCCAATTAACATGATAGGATTTTTCGCTTCTAATAGAACATCCATAAAATACCTTAAACGAGTTGTTTCAGATGTAGGTACTAAATTTGATTGTAACGGTTTGTCAGTCTCTAATTCAAAATTTTCTACAAGATTAGTCCATGGAATTAATGCTTTTGTTTCTTGATCTACGTAATAATCAAAAACTGTTCCTTCGGGAGGAAATTTAACTGATTTAAATTCTGAAATAAACCATTTAGAAAACTCATTTCGCCAATCGATTATCTGATCTTGAAATAAACATGATCCAAAGCCCCAAATACACGCAAAAGCAAAATAGATTTCATACCAGTCTTTTGGACAATCGATTGGTAAGTTTTCTTGAACTAACAAACAATTCAACAAATAACAAGTCATCTGTATCATCGCAATATCTGATATCGGAGTAATTTTCTTCAAACCTTTCTTAGAATTTTCTAACAAGGATGGAATATATCTATCAAAAAGTGTTCCCAAAACTGATTGCTCACTCTTTGATCTTCTACTTAACCATGAAGCGACAAACGGATTCCAACTTAAGTCTTGAGGATTAATGTATAATATGCCAGCTCTCGAAACCGTTGCTGGTGTAGCTGTTTTTAGATTCGCTATTTCAAATAATAACCTCATATCCTTTGTTAGTGCAATACGTTCATTACTCGCTAAGGTCAAAACTTTATTATCATCCATTACGGTATTTAAACTTTCAATCCACATTGGATCAATATCACCATCTAGAACAATCCATTTGGGACCATCACCGCTCATATTAGCTTGATCTCTCATTATTATTGAAAATAATCCGTCCTTCCATTCCCTTGTGGATGGATTCACAATACCAAACAACTCATCATTTGTAACTGCTTTAGGGTTTAAATCATTATAAAATGGCTTCCTGTTCATATTATGATAAGTTTTCTGTAAAACTTTCCAGACTTCTGATTTTCCTGTTCCAGCGAACCCTACTATAAAAACAGAATGTCGCACAGCAAACAATTCTGTAAGTTCTACAACTTTTTGAATAAATTCTGGTTCTGGTTGTAATGACAATTCTACAGTTGATTTTTTAATTATCTCTTCAAATTCTTGATTACGTTTTCGTGGAACATTTAAGTTGGGAAATAAGTCTCCAATCAAACCAATAAATACTGGTAAATCATCTGTAACAATTTTTGGCGTATTAAAATCACGGAGAGCTCTCATTAAAACTTGATCCTCGGGTCTGTGCCTGTCATCTCTCTTGAATAATTATAAAAAATTTATTATGTTTTGTTGTGTATTTGAAAATAAATTAAAAAGAAATAAAATCAAAATAAAATAATTGAAATACTTACTCTCAGTGATCCAGCAACAACAAGAACAGATTTAATGGCCCTTAAACCCCAATCATAGTGATCCTGTTTTGAGAGCAACTCTTTACATAAAGTGTACAATGTTATAAATTTACGCGCTAACAAGCGAGCTTCTTGAAATCCTTCTGCTACTAACATAATTTCAGCTATTAATGCAAAATCGGGAACAACCATAGCACATGGACGATACAACGCTTTCAGATTTTCTGGTAATTCAGCCCGACCGGCGTAGCCTGGGTTCATCGTAATAAAAACGCCTACTGTAGGTTTCAGAGATATCATTTCTCCTAAGAAATTTAATATTTTCTTTTTACCCTAACAATATTTTTTAAATGATATTAAGTATTAAGTATGTGCAAATATATTGTAGCTTGTTAAAAATATGAAAATAACTACAAAATATTATTATTTACCTTTATTGCATCCTGTATACATTTTACTTGAACAGCTATAACAGATAAGACACTGACAGAAATTCTATTGAATTCGTCAAAACAGCCCCACGCACCAGTTTGAGCTAATCCTTTATGAATGTTACCAACTGATTTATAATCCATTTGTTCGGAGCAATTGAAAACATAAACCATTATACCAAGTGCCCTTCCCAGATCTTTTGTTGTTTCGGTTTTGCCTGTACCAGCTGGACCTGCTGGGGCACCACCCATTACTAAATGTAATGATTGCGTCAAAGTTATATAACAACGATCTGTCAACGGTGTTACTACCAATCTAGGTGTATTACCTAAGAATTCATAATCGTAACAAAATTGAGCGTCGCAAATATTTGCAAAACAATCGCCCCTTGCTTCATCCCACCTGTGACGCAATTGCGTTTGCCATTGAAATGATGAAATTGACTCTACTTTTAAAGCAATCATCTTAGCAACAACATCTCTTTGATGAACATCAATTGTGCATATTGTCATAATTTTTTGTCTGTCTGCAGCCGTCAGATCACTCAATAAAAGCATAATTAACGAATTTAATTGATTAATTTGTTGCTTATTGTATTCTTTCATTGCATTTTCATATCCCATATCCAACTTCATGAACGCCTTATTTGTCTCGAATGTCCACCAAATTTGAGATCCAACTAAAGCAGATTGAGCTGGCCATTCAAATAGCCAAGTATCTCGCGGCTTTTCATCATAAGCTACAACTGCACGCCGTAAATGATCTCGTAAAGTATCGCGCATACTACTCGTTACACGATTTAACCAAATTTCGACTTTACCACTGCAATCACATTTTTCTAAAAACGGCACGTATTCATCTAGTTCCTTAGCTACCATTCCATTTGCTGTTTTACCGCTTGGTAAAAATGTCAGTTTACCCATTGAATCATATAATTTTGTTAAATGACGACAAACAAGAACAGGCTTATTACTATTTGATAAAATATCTAACAAATCCGCTGATGAAATAAAATAAAATCGTGGATATGCTAAACGTTTTGTTTCTAAATAATCATTAAGAGCCTTTTCACAAAATGATAAAGCTATTCCGAGTCTCTCTAGTTTATCGACTAAACCAGATCTATTGCAAGCCTTAATGACATATTTATCTGCGATCATGTTAACTGCAAATTATATAAAATAAAATATTTTCATATTTTATTAATTATAATCATAATAATTATAGTTAAAATAAAATATTTTCATACTTAATAAATTTTTGAAATCTTTATCAATTGCATCGAATCTACTTGAGTCTTCTGGCAACTGACTTCTAATATCTTCAGATCCAATGAAAATGTTTTCCAAATATTGCCATTTTCTCTGAACTTCAAACCAAGATGATATAACCGCATCAGTATTGGATAACTTTTTCTGCCATTCAAATACCTGTTTTTCAAAGTATCCTACATACTTTGAGCTCATCATATTTTGAACTCGATTTTGATTATCTTCTAAGATTTCGATTAACTCCTCAGATGGTCTTAATATTTGCAAATTTGTTCTTTCATGCAAATCAGTTTCAAAAACCATACCAGCCCATGTTGAGCTAATTTCCGATAAATCTTTTTCAATTGCAGCTTCTTTGATGGATTTTTCAACAATATTTTTAACTTCTTCTTCAAATCTGTGTAAACCCAAATCAAGTAAATTAGCTAAAGTTGTAGAATCAGTCATATCAAATTTAATTTTAGTCTCATCCATTAACTGCTGCCAATGACGCGATTTTATTGCTGGATTTTGCAAATCGACAACAGCCCGCAAAGACGTCATTAAATTTTTTAACAGCAATTCAGCATAAATATACGGTTCCCATGTGCGACAACAAGAATCTAAAGCTTTTAAAGAGCGATTAAACTTTTTATTTTCAGAATCCATACTTTCTATATCAATTTTTTTCCATGGAGTTGTTTTCCAATCTTCAATTGTCGTTTCAATTGGTATAACATGGTCCCATAATATTTTTACAGCTTTCAATTCCTTTAAACATACCTCTATGGCTAATCTAACTGGAGACGGAAGCTCAAGTAACTTAGCTTGTTTATCTAATAGATCAATATTTTGTTCCAAAGTTTTAATTCGATTAAATTCTTCGTCAATTAATTTATATACATGTGGACAAGGAATAAAAAAGAACTAAAACAAAATAATAATACTGCAAAATTTTTAACATTCGCTCCTATAGACATAATTAATTTACCGATTTTTTAAGAAACTTATTTCTAAAAATTTGCGAGCGAATATTTTGTAAATTAACACGTTTATCGATTAAGTCAATTTGATAAGTCTTTATTGGTTCAATCAATGTTTTGACATTAACTAATTCACGTTTAATTTTTTTCCATTCGTCCGGAAGGTCTTGGAACTGAAATTATTTAAATTATTTAAATTTCAGATTTATTTGATACTGTGATTCTTTGACATTGAAATTCTTAGCAACTGCAAAATACTAGCTGACAATTTAATATTTACCTGTTTAAATACTTTTTCTGGAAATGCATAGTCATATGATTTTAAAAGTTTAACAATATTTTTCAAAGGATCGAACATTGAGTCATAGTATACTTGGTTATCAGCAATTTTTTGTAAAACCTTAATAGTTTTTATAAGTCCATCAAAATCATTTTTATCCAAATCAATATAAAGAATCGTTAGAGCTTCAGCTATAAAATCATCTAATTCCTGAACACAATTAAAAAAAAATGTTAAAAAACCACAATATTAGAATAATATGTTACGAAACCTGCAAACAATCTTCAACTATTTTAATTAAATCATCTTTGAAAAAGTTAATCCAATTATTTACTTCTTCAAGTACATCCTTCTTAAATTGTTTTGTGTTTAATCTTAACCATATGAAATCATAATATAAATCCCACTTTTGATCAATTTCTTCAAAAAGATAAGTAAAATTTTTAATTTCGTTCTTATACAGATTCAATGGTAAATTTTCTAAAGATTCCTTGATTGGTTTTGGTCTTAAAGTTTCATCTTCACGTTCAAAATTATTAAGAGGTCGACCATACATTTTAATATCTTTTAAATATTGTGACCGATTTAGTTTCCAAATAAAAGAACTTTTACCATATTCACTCTGAACATAATTTTTAATTTGACTCATAACATTACGAATTTTATTTAATATATCGTCACGAACTTTAGTTAAACTTGGCTTCTCACATAATTCATCTAAAAAAAAATTCATTAGTATGCATTTTATTAGTATTATATTAAATACACATAAGTATGCCAGCTTAATTATAAATTATTGATTATTTTTCTGCTTACAGAACTGAAAAATCATGCATAAAATTGAGAGAGTAAATAACGTGTTTCTACCAACTCAAAAACAACGGAAACAAAACTTTTTTTACTTTACGATAACTTTCGTGCTGCTATTTAAATTTTAGTTCGAGTCCATTTGGTTTCGAAAAATTCGATTCGTAACAAGTTATAACTAGCTTTGATTGCAGTTTTGATTACGATAAATACTTATAAATCAATTTCTTGAAGTTCACTTCTCCGTGTGAAGGAAGTGACTTGAAATAACGCGGCAATTCTTAACACTCAATTTTGAAAAAACAAATTAAGCTTATGAACAGGATGCCCGTTATTCGCATTACATATTAAGTTAACATAATATAATAAAACATTCTGCTTTTATGAACTAAAAAATAAAAATTTGTCAAACCCATATAAGTGTCGTTATCAGTTGTCTGATCCGTTGGTGCAGATTTTGTCAGCATAATAGCCATGCGAAATATATCTTGCAAAATTTCTTCCATATATTGATAGAAACCTTGAGGATCATCTAAATCTATATTTCTATCGTAAAAAATGTTTGGAGGTTTCAAGCAAATTGTTATCTCAGCTATTGGGAATTCATTTTCGTTGATATCGTCCATTTCGTTTTTCAAATAACGTATACTTGTTTTGATAGCGGCTTTTAATTCTTCAACTATAATAGTATCAAGATAATTTTCATAAACTATAAATTTATGCCGTTCTTCATCATCCAAAAGCTTCAACGTTTCTTCAGTATTCATTTCAACAATTTCCTAAAATTTTTACATGCTTATAAATATAATTTATAATTTAATAGAAAAGATAAAATTTAACTTGTTGCTGTTAAAGGAATTAATATTTTAAAATTATTTTTGTTTTCTTTTTTATTTAATTTTGATACACATTGTATGTAATTGGTTCTAGTATTAAGTACGCATAGGTTTATGTTTTATTTAACAAAATTAAATTTTCAAAGGAACTGAAATAATAAATTCTTATTCTAATACAGAAAGTTAATAAATAATTAAAAAAAAAACTTAAATTTTATTTTAAAACGAGAAAAAAATAGAGTTGACCATATCAACTCTGTAATACCCGTACGAATTTGTTATCCTATGTGCGAATAAATATGCCATAGCACATATATGGGACAGACTATAGCTCTAAAATTAAATTACCATATTAATTTGTGCAAAGTTTTAGTATTGTGACTTCAATATTTTCTAAGTTATGGCCAAAGGACTTTTGAAGTTGAAGGGCAGCTACCACAAAGGAACAAGAATTTTCAACGATTTTTATCACACATACCCCTGATAATACACTGGTTTTCTTGTGATCTCAATAACTTTTATGAAGATAGCTGACATTTTACCGTATTTTATTTTGAAAAATTTTGAATAGTTTTTAAAATATAGCCAAATAATTTTTCAAATTGAATGGCAGATATCAGAAGGAGCAATTTCAATGTCTTTTATCAAACACAATGGTCGTAGTAATATGTTCACTTGTGCGAAATTTCAATAGGTTCTATAATTTCTGAAATATAGCCAAGTAAATTTTGAAATTATATGGCAGCTATCCGAACCAGTACCTCGATCATATCCTATTTAAATAAGGTTCAGGCATTTACTATAATAAATCATTTCTAAAAATTTGGTAAACTTAGGTCTGTTAGTTTTTCAGTTATCGTTAAGACGGACGGGCGCACGAACAGACAAAGCTAAATCGACTTAGAATTCGACGCTAATCCAAAACATATTGTAATTCAGTCTATATCACAGTTACTAACAGTACGTCAAATTTAGTACATCCTTTGAACATATGTACGTACGGGCATGAGAGTTAATTTTGAGTTTTTTTTTTAATAAATTGCTTTAACATGAATATTTACATTGAGATCTATTTGAGAATGCATTTCGTCCTGACTTGTTACTTGGTCTTCCGGTATAATAGGAGAAACTCCAGTTGTTATTTGTTTTAAAAGTATACTATTTCGAATATCCACTTCACTACTTGATTCTACCCACATTTGAATATCAGGCATATCATAAAACAATTTTAAATTGAAGTTAATTAATTTCTTAATCAATTCCTTTGTTGTAATGCAATCTAAAAAGCGTGATTTCATAATTTTTTTTCGATTCTCGAAATCAATAAACGATTTATTATTATGAGGTTGCCTTTTATACAAGGGTATATTACCCCATGAACGTATACTATTTCTTATCAAGCCAATATTAAATTGAGTGCGCATTAAACGTTTATTTACACTTTTTATTTCAACATATAGTGCATGCAATTTTTCAGTATCTAAAAAGAAAAATTTTGTCAATATTATATAACGGGTTGCGAATTGAAAATATAATAAAAAATTTCTGATAAAAACTTGAAATATATAATCAAAAATTCGCAGAAAAAGCTTTTGTGCATGAGCCAATAATAAGAATTATCATGAGTATTTTATAAAATGCAGTTCTTAAGGTTAGAAGGCATGAAACAAGTTAAATGCTAAAACTTGGAGTTCCAATATTAAGAATTACATTTTGAAGCATGGTCAATAAACAATATAATCAACAAAATAAAAATACATGCCGAAATATAAATATAAATTCATATTACCAATGTTAAACCAAATAATCTCATTTAAAAATGGTTCTAATAGATTTTCAACAACTTCCATTTGCGGTCTAAGCATGTCATATTCACATGGATGTGATTTTTTTAAAACTTCGTTGTACCATTCTTCAATACGTTGTATTTCGAACTTCGATTGAGTTAAATTATTTTGCAAGTTATAAAATTCTAAAGCTTCAGACGAAATTCTGTAATCAAGTGACCTTATGCTTCTAATATCATTTAAACCAACTTTCAACTGGAAATGTTACAGTTTTGATGCTATTTTAGTTTCAAAAGAAATCACAGTTTTACCTCTTGGTCAAAATTAACTTCAATAGTACCATCCCGTAATTTTCTAAAAATGGTTCTTTGAGCTCCACTTCTAATAGATTTAAGTAAATACTTGCGCCACCAATATAATATTTCTTTTTCAAAATTTTCAAGGTATTTCATCATTTCTCTATAACGTTTTATAACTTCTTGCCCATATTCGTTGTTCAAAATTTCTCTATATAATTAGATTACATAGTAAAAAACTTTGCATAAATTTGGAAATGAATATGAAAAAATATCGACTTACAGATATTGGGTGAAAGGAAATTCTCGAAAAATACTTAATATCCGAGCTCGTACTGATCTAAGCCAGCAAAGAGCTCCTGATGTAGGTGTTAAATACGGTACTACTTTGAGTTTCTAGATAATGATAATACAAATATAAATATTTCAATGATAAACTATGATATACCCAAAATGAAAAACTGCTTCCTAAATTTACTCACCATGATTCCATTTTCTTTATATGAATTCTTATATTCATTAAAAATAAGTTTAACAGTACTTAATTCGTTATCAAATTCTTCAACAATATTCTGTAGATTATCATATATTTGATGTTTTATAACTGGTCTATGTAAAAGAGAACCACACAGCTCGACAAATTGTAGGGTTGAATTAAGATCATGGGACACTTCAAAATATTTTTCAAATTGAAAAGCAAGTTTACGTTCAAGGATATCAGCACTGCTATTAAATTTTTTTAAATCTTGTTGGAAGCTTTTTAATTTCGGATCGATTTCTAGTGGATTGTACTGAATGTTACCCCATTCAGCGTATAACGTTTGAAATGAATCAGATATTTTTCTAACCTCTAATGTGATTGCTTTTCCTTTAAAGCCCCCGACACATATTTTATCAAGTTTCGTAAATTCAGAACCAATTTCAAAACAGTTATGCAACTCATTTAATCTTATTAAAAATAGATCATATCTTTCAAAAATGTAAGTAGATTGCCAGGTCCAATCTTGTGCAAATGGATTTGAAGGGCGTTTGAAATAATTTCTTTTAGTTTTCATTTCATTATACACTTCCCTAAAACAAAATATTATGAATTTTCAAGTTTTCTTAAAGTTACTGCAAACCTACCGAAAATATAACAGGTTTTTCTTTGTCATCCGTACCTTCTTTAAAGTATCTTCAATTTCTCCTTGAAATAGTGTGTCTGGCTGTAATGTTCTAATTGCACATTCAATTACACTATTGAAAATTAATTTAAAAAGGAGAGCCATATTCTCGACAGTGGAAGCATATTTTGAATAAGACCATGTTAAGCAGGTTGTTATCAGCAAAGGTCTCATATGAGTGCGACATTCTTCTAAATCTAATGACTCCATATTATCGATAATAGTTTTCTAAAATAATTTAAATTTATGTTTATAGTGATAACATATATATATAAGTTTATCTACTAAAAATTAAAATAGTATCGTACTACTGGTTTATAATGAATGTTGATATCTTTAGCTTGTTCTAGTGCATTTAAAGCATTGTGTACTAAATCATGAAACAGTTTTAGAAAAATTGAGCCAATTTTTTCTAGAACGAAACCAACAGTTCGTATTCGAACTCGACATAATTGTTGTACTAAGTCTTCCAAGTTTTCTAATCTAGCTTGCCAAAATTTGAACAAATGCTCTGGTATGGGTGTAGCACTTATTTCGATAATTCTAGCTTCAATATCTAATTTAGTTAGTTCATTCACAGTATCGAACCATTCCAAAACGATATCTTCTAGGCCATCTTTAATACTTACTGTCACAATTGCTAAATTACTAAAAATAAAAAAATTTAAAATATGTGGTTTAATATCAAATAGATGCCCGTTACCCTTGCGCAATTTGCGGCGAAATTTCCATAACTTCACTCATGCAAGTTGGTAACGGTAAAATCGTACGATTTTTCATATAGCCTTTCATTTTAACAAATTCTGTTTGGATAATCTGATTTTGTATTGGAACTTCTTGTACCATAACCTGAGTCCAATTATTTTGATTCGCTTTATGTTTTAAAAATGGTATCCATAAGTCATCCAGTAGAGACGAGATAGTTTCCAAGGGCTTCGGAGGTAATTCTCCAATATAGCAGCCCTATAAATGTATTGTTACCGAAGTAGCTCGCATTTGTTATAAAAAAAAGTACTCACTTTTCTAATATTTTCAGCACTCTTAAATACGTATGGAGACGTTTTTCGTACGAAATAAACAAGTTTTGAATTATATTCAGGTGGATAATCATGAGATACACATAATAATCCTGCAGCATTCCCATAGAAAACTACTTGCCGAACAGTTGAATTATCCAAAAAGTTCAAGAGAATATTCTAGAAATTGACAAATACAATTTCGTATAAATTTATTTGCGAAGCTACTAATATTATACAAAACATAAGCAGAAAATTTAGAAATTTTTTTAATTAAAAAATTTATTTTACATAACAGCTTAGAACTAATAAATAAATATTAAATACATATAACGGTCTTCAGAGAAATCACCTTAACTCGTTGACATTCGATGACCGATCGCGAATGAATTGAATACCCATGTTTACATGACAACTTTCAATGCAAATGTCAACCATTGATGCAAAAGTTTGTAAATATTGGTTAAAGGAGAAAACTCGAGTGATCACAAAAATTAAATTATGGAAAACCGCAAATAAAAATAAATTTGGAGAAGTCAGCAAAATTATATACAATTGATAATGTTTTAAAAGATGACATGTGAAACAATCCGATGACAAAATGGCTCCATTTTTTATAACCTTTTTTTATAAATTTTTAATTTTTTTTAAAGTTTAACTTTTTAATTTTTAAAAACGAAAACGTTAATGACAGTTTGATTGTGTCAACATTTCATAACAGGAGAATGCGATTTGAGAATCAGTTACGTTGTTTGTATCGCGGCTTAAGTATTTAACTTGGAATCAGTTCAAAACTCAAGCTGCGATTCAGCTTGAAAGCTCAAAAAAATATTAAATACATATAACGGTCTTTAGAGAAATCACCTTAACTCGTTGACATTCGATGACCGATCGCGAATGAATTGAATACCCATGTTTACATGACAACTCCCAATGCAAATGTCAACCATTGATGCAAAAGTTTGTAAATATTGGTTAAGGGAGAAAACTCGAGTGATCACAAAAATTAAATTCTGGGAAACCGCAAATAAAAATAAATTTGGAGAAGTCAGCAAAATTATATACAATTGATAATGTTTTAAAAAATGACATGTGAAACAATCCGATGACAAAATGGCTCCATTTTTTATAACCTTTTTTTTATAAATTTTTAATTTTTCTTAAAATTTAACTTTTTAATTTTTAAAAACGAAAAACGTTAATGAAAGTTTGGTTGTGTCAACATTTAATAAAAGGAGAATGAAATTTGAGAATCAGTTACGTTGTTTGTATCGCGGCTTAAGTATTTAACTTGGAATCAGTTCGAAACTCAAGCTGCGATTCAGCTTGAAAGCTCGAAAATGACAGTTTACTTGAAACTAAAAATATTAAATCTATTTATCACAATGAATGTAAATCTAATTTGTGACAAAAAATTATATTCTTTTATTTTCACGCTCTCAAGCTTTCGAATGATGTTCTTAATTCAACATTTCAAGTCAAATAGGCAAAATTTTTTGATTGATTTAAATGAAGTCGGCTTAGCCAAGTAACATTTATATGGACGTAAAGTAGCTTTCATGTACGCTTGAAGCTGTCATATAAACGGGACAAATAAAATTAAAATAAAATGAAGTGCTACATGCCGTTTACACATCCCAAAAAGTATGAAATTGAACGTGTGAAGTCTCATGATTGCTTCACATCAGACTGAAATTAGCTGATGGAAATTTTACGGTAAAATTGAATAACTTAAAAAATACAAGAAAAATAAAAATCAGCTGATCGCTATTCAAAATCATCGCAGCAATTTAAAAAAAAATCTTTGGTGGCTAGACAACGCATCGATTAAAAAATTTTAAATTGTGTTTATTAAACATTATGTCAAGTTGAAAATTTTTCGAGAGATTTCCGATATCACCGCTATTATAAAAATCTATTGTAAATTTTTATAAAAATTTAAAAAATTTCTATAAAGAAGAGAAATTATCAATTAAAAATAATTTTTTCGAAAGTGAAAAAAAGTATTTTTTTTTAAAGTTTTTATTACAATAAAAAACCTTTTTCCATCAAACTTATTGTTTTCTTCTGGTATGATAACTATGTATACCAACATTTTTATATTGAAAAAATTTAAATTGATTTATTACCCAACGGCTAATTTTGCTTACCTTTCTTCTCTTTTATATATCGTTAGATTAAAATTTTTATTTCTTAAAAACTATATAAAATAATTTGTATTTATCGTTGGTTTTAATCATTTAAGTAAAATAAATTTTCAGTATAAGTGTTTTTGTTGATCCCAATATAATAATATAATAACAAGAATACACGTTGTGGATATTAATTATGTATTGTTAAAGTATTTATATTATTGTTTAAAAAGTCTTGCCACATTACTGCTATAATCACAAATTCTGTATGTAATTACAAAATATTTATGGGTTACGAAGAAGTATAGTTCATTCAATTTTAAATCTAAGAATTATAATTCTTGAAAAACTTCGAAGAAGGCAAACAAAAAATATGTTTTGAAAAAAGAAGGCTGTGCACTTAACGTAGTATTCACTGGAAAAATTAAAAATTTTTTTATAATTTTTAAATTGTACATATATGTACAGTTATGTTGAGATTTATTCTAGGAAACAAATGAATAAGTGGTTGTTTTTGTTTATAAGTCAACAAAATTTAATTTTCCACAATTTTTAAATTACGAAAGTTAGTGACCCGTTTTCTAGAATTTCTACAAGGCGTTTCTTGACATATCGTGTTTCATTTCATTTCTAAGTAAGGGCAAAGTAAATGTATGTCATTGATGTTAAAGACGTAATCTAAAAAAAGGTAGACACAGCTATTCGAGAGTAAATTGAACAGTTTTATGAAGTAATTCATCAATTAATTAATTCAAAACTATTTACAGTATTTTTGTGGAAAGCACAAGATTATCAGTAAATTTTACGCTTCGGTATAGTTACAGCAAAATCATATGTTAATTACATTTATACGAAAAAATTTACGATTTAATTTTAGTCTGATGAAAATCGTGAATGCAAGCCCGATTTGACATAAATTTTGTTTGACAAAGGTTATAGTTTTCGACTCGTATTAAAAATTTCAAATTTTGTCGAAAGATCTGATTGCTAAACCGGCATCAGACTTTAAATATAAAACAGAACATTCCATAGCGAAATGTCAGAATTCAAATGTCTGACAGATATTATATTTTTGTTATGTCAAGTAGAATACACAAATTTAAATTAAATTGCGTAAGATCAAGCGAATTTATCGCCGTAAGTTTAACCGTCGGCTGTAAAATAGACTGAATTTTTATTGAACCGTTGGCGGCTTTTTTTGACTTCATGTGTTTCATTGGTCGTTTACATTATATGCAATTTGCTGTATAGTCAATTCTAGAATCATTCGCGGCTTTAGTTCTGTTTTAACAATATCTATGATTTACTTTTTAAATTATTTTATTATGATTTTAAATTATTTTATTATTGCTTATTAAAAAGTTCAATTTAATTTTTAGTACTTTTGAGTTTTAATATTTAAATATTTTTTAATCGGTATTACAACAATAAATTTGAAAAATATTAAGATGTTTTTTAAATTTTTTACATATGTACATATGTATACATATATGTATTTCCCAATCAATGGTAAATTTGAGTAATGCATTTCATGTAAGTACATATTTAGTTTTTAAATCTGACTAAATTCTGATTAAAGAACATGTTGTAATAAGACTAAAAAATATGTTCTTTACAGGTCCAATACGATACTTATATTAATAGATATTTGTCATAAGAAATCGAATATTGGTAAATTCTTAAACGTCAAATTTTACAAAATCTGAGTTGTCTGAGTTTACGGATACTCTACTACGTTTTTACTCTCAGTCAAAGTTTAAATTCTTAAACGTTTAAAAAAAGTCAATTAAGCGTCAAAATTGTAGATTTTTTTTTTTACATGCAGACAGTAATTCAGTAATTCAGTAAATAAATTTACTAACTGACGTAGTAATTCAGTAAATAAATTTGATGTATTGAGTGACTATCATTACGTTAAAAATAATATAAAAAATATTTTTTTTGTTAATTTTTAATATGTAAGTATAAAATTATTTTAAATCTAAAAAAAAATTTTTTTTTGTTTTGACGTTTACGGATGATCAAAATTCAAAGTCAATTACGGGTAAAAAGTTTACTACATTTCTGTCCGTAAAAGTTTTATACGTCAGACAGTTTGCAGACTAAAATCAAAATTTTGACGTTAAAGAATTTGCGGTATATTTCTCGGATCCATTTACAAAGTTCAAGTCTTTCTATCTTTTCGTTTCGTTTATTTAATTACAATATTATTGTGATGGCAATCCCAAAAGCACTAAATATATTTCGTGCAATATGTACACTTATATATAATGTACACAATACACTTGTCCTATTTCTATGTACATACATATATTCGGATGCTTACAGAACATTATGTATGTTTGTATTATGCTTTTTTTTATTATAAAATGTTTTAATTAGATGTTAAAATAATGGACAAATTTATTGTGAATTAAAGAAGATTGCCTAATAAAATTTCTTTTCTAAAGGCATCTTAAAAACTTTAGTGTTTAATTTTAAAATCGTAATTAATTCTTTTATGAGTGTTTATGTATGTACGTAGAGATATATGTATGTATGTATTTACATACTCAGTGTAAGTGCGAAGTGCGAAATATAGTTAAGGTGTTGCGTATAGATACTTACTTATGTACTTAAATATTACATACTTATTATTTTTTGGAAAATTGAAAAGTGTGATGAAGTAAAATAGATGTTGAGATGTTTGCGATATTTTTAATAATTATTTAAGTACATTCAATTAGGTCAAAATAAAGGAAATATTCTAAATTTTAGATGGTTTCAAATTTAGATTAGGATTGAGATTATTATTTTTTTTATAGTAATTTTTCATATTTTATTAAACAACTCTAGTTGTTAATAAGACTTTAATTAACTATTTTTGATATGAATTTGATATTTTTTTAAGAATTTGCTGTAACAGAGCTTTGCGGATCTCTTTACTCCATTTTATTTTGTGTTATAACTATTAATTTTTTAAAAAAGTTGTTAACCTAATATATGAAAATTAACTAAAGTTGTTAAATATTACATAAAAATTTTACGATTAATATTGTAAAAATGACAATATTATATTATGCTTTTATAACACTTAAAAATCTGAAAATATATAAATATTTTCATAAATAAAAAGTATTTACTTACTAGATATCGACTATTATCCGTTAATTTAATCCATTTTTCATTTTTAGCTTTCATTGTTTTCAATATATAATTTTGAATCCATTCTATTCTAGGATCAATTTTAATTTCTTCTTCTATTTGATCGCCCATTTTTATTTTCTAAAACTAACAAATTTTAATGGTTTGATTTTTCAATGAACTTTCATATACATATATGAATGTACTTATGTAGGTATATAGCACAGTTTAAGCATTCTTTTATTTGAACATAATCATTGTAAAAGAGGAAATTTTCGAAAATTCCGTTCTAACTTAAATCTAAATAAATATAAAGCATGTTCGATAAATTAAAAGTACAAAGCTTTCAAATGTTGCATGTTTGATAAATCTTTACTAGAAAAGAATTGCATTCGAAAATCGTAGTATGTTTTTAAGCATAATTTCTAAAGGGTTTTTAAAGCATTTTTAAGTGCTGAAAAACTTTAAATATTAAAAATCTAAAAAAGTAAAATAATAACCTCCTGTAGCTCGGTAATGATGCAAAAAAAAAAACAAAATACATATCTGAATCATCCAAAATCCGTAAACTTTAAAACATTATAGAATAAATACTTACTGTACAATCAAAATATCAAGAAATATTTTAAATAGGTAAATTGAATTGCTACTAAATTTGTTTTAATCAGTAAAAATCCGCGAAATCACAAGTAATCTCCTTGTTTTTTTTTTCAATATTTAATGAATGAGCAACGGACCTCTTAAATTTACAATTCAGATTCTAGAACTTTATATTACTCAATATTGTTAATCGTTCTTAATTCTTGTTTTATTTTTTTCTTTGCAGTTTTGTTACAAGCCGTTTGATATATCAATCTACAAAGATATGAAAGGTATTATAATTCAAAATTTATATCAAATTAAATTTAAATTACTGTTACATATATATTTTCATAAAATTAAAATTTTCTTATATATTTACGTATGTAGTATGTACAATTATTAATGCTCATATTTAAGTGTATCCATTTTTTAATTTTTTGCTAGAAATTTAATAAGAATTTTACCTTACTTTTAGCACAAATAAAATAAAAATGCTTCCTTTTATAATACTGTACATATAGCTTATGTACATTATGTAACTGTTATTTAAGATCTTTGGAAGCTATTGAAAAATTTGATCAAAGACAAAATTTTTGAAATAAAAATCCTTCTTGGGAAATACATTTATAAACACATATATTTAAGCATTGTTCAAAAATGTGTCCTTGCTTACGTATTACGTGCAATTGTTATTACGAAGTTCAAATAAATGGCTATATGTATGTATATATGTATGAATCTGTATTTATGTGAAAATGTGCATATGTAGGAATAAGGAAAGTTTGAATTTATTTTTTTGTATAAAAATGAAAAAGGGAAGCAAAAATTCTTTATTTAAATAGAAAAATAAAATATTCTTTTTTTTTGTATACTTACATGAGGAAATAAGAAAAAATTCAATATAATTTGAGGAAAAATTATAAGGTTTTAAATTTTCTTTTATTTCAAAATTTGAAAGAATAAAAATATTGACACATAATTCAAAGTAAGAAATTAAAAAAAAAATTGAACTAATTTAAATCTTCTTTGATTATGAGGATGAGCACTTTTTAAATTTCAATCTGTGTAGGCGAAATTGGATTAATTTTCAAAACTAAAATAATTCAATTATGTTGTCCATATCAGACATTTTCATCTGGTATTTCAAATCAAATTTTCCTATAAATTTTTATTCATACAAAACTATGTACTTCCATATGTATGTATGTACATATCTATATCTATATTATAATTTATAATAATTAATGAAATCATCTACATAGCATGGGTGGTATATGAGTTACGGATTTAGGAAGGTTATAAACAACAAATGCAAACAAACTTTTTGAAAAAAAAAAAATTAATTTTTTAGAAAAATTTTAATTTCTCATCGGGTTTAGGAAAATAAATATTAAAATTATTAAGCAAGTTATATAAAATAATTGAATTTGTTAGTTTTGAATGAAGACTGAATGGCTTTAAACACTTGCGGTTATCGAGATTAGAAATACATACATAAACTCGTACACATACATATGAAACATACATAAATATTGAATTTTGTCAAAATTTTTGCTTTAGTTCTAAATTTTGTATAGATCTAAAGGAACAATTCTCAATCAACATAGGGAAAGAAGGAAATTCTTTTGAGCTTTTAATCTGTTTACATTGTAATTAAATTTACTTATGTATATGAATAAGACTAATCGAAATGATATTTTTCTAAATGGAGTAATCACTTACTTACATATTGTGTTTCTTACATATATTCAAACATACATGCATACATTTTTATATTTGTAGGTACATTTCTTTAGCCAATGTATGTAAACAATTCATTTCTGTCGGAAATAAACAAAGGGCTATGCAACTAATTGCAAATAATGGTTAGATTTGCTATAACTGAGCTTCTAATATTTGATTAAAAATTACTTGAAAGTCTTATTTTCCAATTACATACCTACGAGTATATGTATGTATTTTCAAATTATGTATGTATTTCCTTTGATATTCAATTTGAACAGTTTCGAATAGGACAGTACAGAATGGATGCAGGAGCATAGTCAGTAAATTCTATATTTAGGAATACATATGCATGTACTTTAAAAAAAATCTTGTTAATACATTGTAGCGCAAAATTTAAATGTACTGAAAAGAATTATATAAAAAAATAATTCGGTTTTAGTTCAAGTGTTTCATTTCAAACATTTATTTTATTTTAGTTTTTCCAGAAATATTTTTAGTATCATTTTTCATTTCAAAATTTTTCTTCAATTGGCCGTGGAAATTTTTTCTTGATGATTGTTTGTCATTGGGAAATTTTCGTTCTGTTGTTTGTTTTTTAATAAATTTGCCACTTCTACAAATTGGTTTTGGTAACCGTTTTGAAAAATTATTTGAAGAAGTATTTGTATCGCCTGTTGTAGAAATTGTATGAGAATGTGGAATCTTCGGTAATGATTTCGTACCATTTTTATTATATAATTTAGTCTCTTTTTTTAAATTATTCATTTTGGTTGGAATTGTAATTTGATTTTTTTTATTTCCAGTTTTTTTCAAATTATTCTCTGCTTTTATTTTACTTGCAGAGTTTGGGATTGTTTTAGTTTTTTCAAGCTGTTTTTGATCACTCTGTTCACATGTATTAACGCATTCATTTATATTTTTGTAAACTTGTTCCATATTCTTATTCCAATAATAGAGGTGTGATAAGACAGCCGAACATGTAGGACATTTTTTATGTTGAATATTTGTATTTAAAAATGCTTCTATATATAACAAAGTTTTTGCCATATTACCACAATTAATACATTGTATAATTGTAGGAATATGTTTGTATGTTTTTTTTGTTGATTCATCTGGACTAAGAGGGCTATTTGCAGAAATGTGTCCAATATCATCAGATTTTTCTAATGGTGATTTTATATTACTTTCAACATCTCCAATTTCTATAAGTTTTTCACTTAATCTTTTTAAATGTGATTCTGAATCATTTTTATTTGCAATTTTTGTTAATTTTTGTTTTTTGAAATTTTTTTTAATGATTGAATGATTGGTTTGATTTAATAGAACCATATCTGCTGTTTTTTAAATAAAAATTTTATATTTGTCAAAATAGAATAAAAATTAATAGAATATTTTAACAAAAAATTTGAAAATATTAAGTATTTTTGAAATAATTTTGAGTTATTCATTAAAAGGCTTGCTGTTACGTTCATATGTAAATACATATGTATGTGTGAAATATGTTTATTCGAAGCTATTGAAATTTATGTATGTTTTAGAAAATCAAATGATTTTGTTATTTGGTAGAGAAAACTTTAGGGTTGGATGTTTCGAATGCTTTATTGAGTTTTTTTATTTTACTATTGAGGAAAATCTTGTATAAAAATAAGTTTTTAATTAAAGGGAACTGGATAACGAAAGTGAAAATAAACTGTTTTAAGCGAAAGGTAAGGTCTCACTCACTCTGTTAGCAAGCGGTTTCCTGTACGTCGGTGTCATGATGGCCTGTTAGTCTATTTGTGTTAGTCTGCATCTCAATTTAGGCTGAACTAATTTTAACAAAATTTAAATGTAAATGAAGGCAATATTTAGTTGATTTTTTTCAAACAGTTTATGTATTTTATAAATGATATTAATTTAGGTCATTCATATTAGAGAACATCAACTTATTCCCATTTAATCGTTAAATTAAATCTGCAAAACATAAAGCTTCGTTAATATTAAACTGTCCTTTAATAGTTTTATTAATTATATTTGTTTATTAATTTTTTTTTCTTATTTTTGCAAATTTTTAATAAAAAATTCAAGAAAGAATTTGATTTTCATTTTTGTGAACATATGCACAAATAAATGTTATGTACGTATGTGTATAACAAAATAAATTTAATAAAAACATTACACTCCATGTTGTTTTGCCCGTCGTCTAGTCTAAATACTTAAGTAGGTATAAAAAACCACCATGAGATTCTTAAAATCAAGAAATTAATATGTTAAGAATTATGTATGTATGCATTAAAGATTTTTTTCTGTTTCTCTTTATTATTAATTTTATATAATTACTTTTACATATAGCTATGAATGCAAATACGTTTTTTTATAAAAAATTTTTTAATACATATGAGTACAGGGTGATAGAAAGCGGAAAAAATTCTTTGTATAAAAAAATTTCATACGAAATTATCAGGTTAAAGAAAACTAAAAAAATAAAAAATGGGAAAAATTTGATTTTTTCTAAAATTATAGAGTGCTTGGTATTCCAAAATATTAATATGTGAGCCCTTTACTAGCCCTCTTAAAAACTCTTTGTTTAAGCCTCTATCTTTTTCGAAACGTAAATTATAAGCACAAATGTTCTACCAAATAAAAATTCCGTGAAAATTAATTAAAATCTTTGTGTCTCGGAAATTTCTGAGATTTGACACCTATGAGTAGTTCTAAATAAAAAGTTTACCCATTTTCGATACTCTGCTTAAACGGTAATATATAATATTATACTCTTTACTGAATCACCCTCGACATATCTACGCATATACATGCATAAATGTGCATATAAAAAAATTTAATTT